AAGTTATTCAATGCCTACACCAGTGACTTCAAAATCTACACCAGTGACTTCAAAATCTATGTTTCAATTCCAGGAATTTCACTTGCTATTAATTGTATGGGAGTGTCAGTCTTTTAATTTCTATTGTAATGTCAATTTCTTGTGATTACTCGGAAAATGAAGCTGTAACCACAGACCACAGTGCTGCAACTAAATCCTGGTATAAGCACCGGTTAGGCAGTCTTGAACTATGCATGTGAAGCCAGCTGAGAGGTATATCCAATCCTATAGATTTCTCATTGTTTGGTAACTATTTGCTGCAAATGCAACAAAAATCAATATAAAAATATTACCCACACAGCATTCTACAGGTTACTTGTTTTCTGTAAAGATTTTATTGGTAGGTTTGCAAATATGTATCAGACTGTGCAAAAAATCTCTCCATGAGTTGGTTTTGAAACCCAGTATAGTATTTCCATGGGATTTGGGGGATACATTACCAAGGATGTTATTACAAGATAAATGATTTGCTTCATTAAACACATACAACAATGCATATTTCCACTGAGATCAGTGACCTTTGATGTGTATCACCAGTTATCAGTCAAGTAGAAACAGTCAAAATATTTTATCAGATTTTCTCAATTTTTGCATGATATTTTCATACAGGACATCTGTTGTTCAAACTCAGGGAAGACTTTATACTGATGAATAAGGTGACCAAGTTTGATGAAGTTTGGAATAGAATTATTAACGACGACGACGACAACAACGACAACGCCGGACAAAATTTTTCCCTTAATATACCTTTCCCTTCCATCTTTGATGGTACGGGCAAAGTGAAAAGAGCAACTGTACAGCCAGATGTATTTTTGTTTACGATGCTTTTGCAAACTTTCATTAAATGCACAATCTATCGCATGCATATGCGAGGAAGGTTCCAAGTTTATTTCCCAAATGCATACTATAATTACAACATCATTCAAGACTTCACAGAGGCATCAAAGCCAATCTCATAAATGCCCAGCCAAAAGATTACATTGGTGCCCTTTAAATAGGAATTTATTTATATTACTTAAGGATGAGCAATTTTATAAATTTAGCCTTGCCATCATATATACATCTGCAGGGTCCTCCACAGTTTGAAAATTAAACAAAATGCACCAATGTGAAGGTCGAGTGGGCGTGGCACCTGACCTTTGACATTGGCATCTATTGTACAATCACATATGCATAATATATATTTATTATTACAAAATAGTTTCTATAAATAAATGAGAAGTTTGAAGAGCTATTATTAAGTAAACGTCACCACATACAATCAGCTGATTTTAGCTCCACGATTCATCACCGCTACAGCAGTTGTTTACCAATAATGATTGCATCCAAAACAAGAGACTAAAAAAGTTTGTTAAGTTGTTTTACCAAATAGATGCATACATGCATTATTTAATTTTAAATTAGTCGCAAAAATTGTGATTTATATTTATTTGGACGAAGCAATTTAAAATTTATGTTGTCACACAAACATTCAAAATTGGTTCATTAAAAAACTTGCATGAATGTACGTCATCAGCACCGAAAAGCAAGATGATCAAATGAAATAAAATCTACACAATAAAAGATTTTCAATCTGCAGTTAATAGTTTCTATAAAAAAATAATAGCAATATGTTAAATCAAAGAAAGCTTAGAAAGAACTCCCATGTACTGAGGGTATTGAAGACACATTAAATATAATTCAAAATTACTTGTACTTGAGATGTTGATGGAAAAGCTGAAAACTAATTAATGCAAATCAGAAAATTAATATGAACAGATTTGAGTGTAAAACTAATGAGGTCCGCACAATGTAACAGAAAATCTATGTACCAAGTTTTATTGAAATGTGATTAGAAATAAAAAATTATAAATTATTATGCTAATTAGGGAATTAATATGAACAGATTTTACCCCAAACTAATTAGGTTTGTACATTGTACTAAGTTTCATTGAAATGGAATAATTTGTACTTTAGATATCAGTGTGAAAGCTTAAAATTGGTTAATTATGCACATTAGGTAATTAATATGTACAGATTTTAACCCACAACTATCCAGGTCTGTCTATTGTCCTACAGCATCTATGTACAAAAATTCATTGAAATGTGATAATTAGTACTTGAGATATCAGTGTGAAAGTTGGAAATTGGTTAATTATGCAAATTAGGTGATTAATATGAATAAATATTTACTGAAAACTAATTGGGTCTCTGCATAGTTCTAGATTCATTGAAATGTGATGATTAATACTTTAGATATCAGTAGAAAAGCTGTAAATTAATTACGCAAGTTAGGTAATTAATATGCACAATTATTTACCCTAACACTAATCAGGTCTCTGCATAGTCCTAAAGGATCTATGTACCAAGTTTCAATGAAATGTGATGATTAGTACTTGAGATATCCATGGAAAAACTGAAAATTAACTAATTATGCAAATTAGGTGATTAATATGCACAAATAATTATCCTGAAACAATCAATCTCTGCATAGTCCTCGAGTATCTAAGTACCAAATTTCATTGAAATGTAATGCTCACTACTTATATCAAAAGCTGAAAATGAATTAATTATGCAAATTAGGTAATTAATATGTACTGATGTTATCATAAAAACTATCAGGTCTGTGCAGTGTCATATGACATCTATGTACCAAGTTTCATTGAAATGTGATGTGATGAAATGTGATTAGTATCAGTGGAAAAACCAAAAATTGACTAATCATTATGCAAATTACTATGCACGAATTTTTACCAAAAACTAATTAAAACCTAGAATTAGTTCAGAGCATCTATGTACCAAGTTTCATCAAAATCCAATGAGTGGTTGTTTAGATATCAGTGGAACAGTCATGGAATCGCTAAAAATTAGCTAATTATCATGCAAAATAGATAATTAATATGCACAGATTTTTACTAAAAACTAACCAAAAATACGCATAAGTTCTGAGCATCTATGTACCAAGTTTCTTCAAAATCCAATGAGTGGTTGTTTAGATATCAGTGGAAAAGTCATGGAACCGCTAAAAATTAGTTAATTATTATGCAAATTAGTTATTTAATGAGCATGAATTTTTACCAAAACCTAATCAAATCTGCAAATTGGCCGAGAGCATCTATGCACCAAGTTTCATCAAAAACCG